TACGTAAAATTTATACATTATTTTAAATTCCTTAATAATTCTGTATACATCAATTTTCTAAAAAATTATAAAAAAATGAATCATTATAAATCATATGGAATTATGATATGAAATCATCAATTACATATACAAACCTTTTAAAAAACATATCATTTCCTTATTTCGATTTCTTATAGGAATAGTTTTTAGGTAAGTATGATATATATATCTTAAAAACTATACATGTATAATTTTTCATAAAAATATTCCAGTTTCTAATAGTTTTTAATACTATATAGGAGGTGATCAGTAGAAAAGGAAGAAATTCAAATTTTGATCAAAATTTATATTATTGAATCAGTTGGCTGATTTTAGTCATATGCATAAATTTAGCTTAATAATAAAAATTAACAAAAATTTTGGATTTTCCTTTTTTCTACTGACCTCCTCCTATATGTATAAATAAAAATTTATACTATATATATTCAAAACTATATTACAGTATATAGATTTATTATATATTCTTTTAATATATACTTTATACTATATAATGTCTGTCTATCACTAAATTTGAATAGCTAATCAAATTTTAAAATCAGATATAATATTAAAATTTTTCAATTACATTATAAGATCAGGTGTAATAATTAAATTATAGAATAATTAAATTAAATATAGAAAAGGATATATAGAATAAATAAATGACTTGTATTATATTGTTACTAGATGACTATAATAAGAAAATGTGACACAACAAATAATTAACATATTTTATAAAATTGATTTACTAAAGTATTTACAAAAATAATCTATAGAATTGATCTACTAGATGATCTACAAATGATTTATACATATAACATTAGAAATGTTAACATAACTTATATATTTGATATATCTGACATAGCAGATATTTCTGATATTTCTGACATGTTAGATATAATTAATATAACTGATATATTAAATATAGCAAACATATTAGATATATTTGATTTATTAAACATATATAATATATTAATTTTATCTTTTTATGTAAATTATTTTATATAAATAGGATGGTTTGTAAATGTTAGAATAATAAAAAATTAGATTTTCTTTAGTTTGATACTAATGTGCTTATTGATATTTTTATTATCCTTTTATTTTATATATATCTTATCTTTAATAAACTTATTTTACATGTGTAATATTAAAAATATAATAATTAATTATTATATAATTTATGATTTATAAAGTGTACTTTTACTTAAAATATACATATTATTACAATTATTTTAATGGATTCAGTAAGCTACCAATAAAAAACAACTACTCAAATGCCTCATTTATCATATTTATCATTGTGATTTGCAAAAATCACATGTTAACAATATATTATTTTATTTATCTGAAATGTAAATATAAAAGTTTTGTTTAATTAAATTTATCCTCAATAAAATTTAATATTTTTTTAATTTAACAAAATATTGTTTTAAATTTTTATATTACATTTTTTTTGTTAAATTTTTTATTTGATACATTTTTTTGTTATATTTTTTTTTATTACATTGTATTTAATAAACTGTTATAAATGTTTTAAATAATTTAACAGTTTTCATTACCTAGTATAAAAAAAAGCTACACTTAACAGTAAAGTTAAATATAGGTAATCAAATTTAATTAATTGCAATTTAAGAAGCTCACCAATTTTCATTCAGAACTTAATATATCAAAGAAAACTTTATTATATTATTGATATTGCTAGTCTCTTAAAATAGCTTAACTAATTTTAATACTTCATTAAATATTTTTTGATGCTTACATTTTAACAATATAACCATTATCTGTATTACAAATCATGTGAAATTATATGTATATATATATGTGTTGACCTATAAAAAGTATTTAAATTTTATTAAAATTTACTTAGTAATATATAGTAAAATTGAAGATCTTTAGACTGCATAAATATTTAACCAAAAAATTTTTTATTTGAAAGCCAATCAATTATAATTTTTATATATTTATATATTAAAATAAAAATAAAAAATTTTAAAACATTAAAAATTTTCTTATAGCAAAATATAAGTAATATTTTTTTACATATAAAATTATTCTATTTATTACTTTAAAAATATATTTTTTTCTGCATTTTTAAAATTGTTTATATTTTTAAAAACTATAATTGATTGGCTTTTAAATAAAAGAAAATTTGTAAACATTTATGCAGCCTAAAGATTTTCAATTTTTGATATTATGTAAAATTAAGCATTTATCACAAATTTTCCTTTGGGATACTAGATTAAATTGTTTTGCAACACCGAATTTGCCCGAATTGTCTTTATCTTGGCGTAAATGATTTTCATACCTATTTTTTTTTAAGTCAATTTTTTTCAATTATTATCGTTATATGTTTTATGGAACGAATTATGTATACATTAAAATAAACCTGTAAATTTCTTGTATAATTCTTGTTTTTTTTATTTTATTTCAAACAAGCGTATAAGCATATATACTGTACTTTATACTGTATATTCAATCGTCCTGAAATAAAATTTTACTCAAAGCCAATATATTTCAAAAAAAAAGGAATTTTTTTTAAAACACGATAATTAAAACTTTCAGAAATTCAATCCCATATTTTACAATATAGTCAAATAAAATTTGATATAAAAAAGCTACTTCAACAATATGCAAAATCTCAACATGACGAATGATTTTCTTCCGTACGATCCTGAACACGATACCGCTTTAAACAATTTATCCACTGTACAGGATACTGCGCCATTCGGTTTTAATGGAAATCATTCTTCACCACAAGTTATTATTAGTCCCAATCTTAACTTACAATTGATGAACCCAGATTATTCATTACAACCTATTCAAGCACCTAATTTATCCTCGATTAACTATTCAACTAATTCAAGAGTTGTTATGGCCAAATTTTCATTCTTCTATAAGCCACGCAATGACTTTCAAATGTATCATATTAATTGTGAAGAAATGCAATTATCCTTTGAAACTTTCTCACAGCTAATAAATAATACTGAAAATAACTCTACTTACAATATTTACCGAAAGTAAAAAAATCTACAATTAACTTGTGAAATGATTTCATACACGTATTTAAACAAGATCATTTATGGTATCAAATTCAATCAAATTGAGCAACAAAAGCAGGAATTTTCTAAACAACACCAAGAAAATCTTAAAATCCATTTAAGAAATGATTTGGCTCATTATCCTTTACGTCTCAACCGGATAGTAGCTATCAGGTGGATGTGAAAAACGTGAATAACGTTAGTGATCAAGGTTGCTATAATCATATTACTCAAACTTAACAATATTTTTTATTAATTTTTTTGTAAATTTATTCCTAGACTTTCAAGAATCAATTATTTCTATTAAGTGAATATACTCAAGGTTTATTCACTAATGGTTCATAATGAATTTTATTGGATGGAAAGTTATTTTTATAAAGTTTAAAGAGCATATTTCAAATAATTTTCGCAGATAAAAAAATGACCTTATGTATTTTAATATAAAATAAACAATCATATTAAAAGGAAAATTTTTTTCTTGTTTTATTTATTATCAAATATTATTAAATATTTATCGTTGAAATCGGAAAACATCGACTTGTAAGAGAAAAGAATGTAATAAAGTAGGATCTAAATTATGAGCGGAGTTTCAAATTTCATTTAATAGAATCGATATTATATATGTTTTATCGATGCGATGTAAATTAATGATGTACAAATCTTTTGGTAAATAACAAACATGTTTTTTATGGGGACAGATCACATGCATAAAATTTAATAACAAAGTGTGCATCAAATATATAAATGATGTTTGTTATAGTGTTTTCAAATTATTCTTTGTTTCAATTCACAGATGTTGTGTCAGGATACTAAATATAGTAATGATAAGATCAGTAGACATTATAAAAATGGGCCGGTAATTTAGAAATCGACACCTGATGCACAACATATATATATATTTTTGTGAACTCAAATATTTTATTTTATTTTTATTTATTTTATTAATTTCCAAGTTAAACTTACATTATATTGTATAAATTAGATCCCTACCCCCAAAAGAAAGATTTATAAACCCCAAAAGATGCAAAAAAAAAGAATAAATACACAGGACAGGAACTCATCTTTTTTTCTCATACACGTTTCAATGTATCAAGAAAACATCAATACAAGCATTTATTCTCCACAAAGTTCTCAAATTGATACTACTTTTAACAATTTTAATCCCGGACAGGACGCCCAAATCATTAACGATACGTCTCAAGTGTCTATGCCAACACCACGTAGCACAGAACCATTCTATATGAATGAAGTAAATCAGGCGATGAATCAAAGTCACCTTTCACAATCTACCCAAGCATATAATTCAAACATTTCCAATTTCTCGTTCTATTATTGCTTCAACCTTCATCCTCACCATATCAAATGTGAAGAAGTACAAGTATCCTTTGATACTTTCTCTCAGATGATAAATAATACTGACAATATTTCTACTTACAAGATTTATGTGTTCTATCATGAACAAACTGTAACGAAGAAAATTTATAAAGTAACCTGCGAAATTATTTCACATACGTTTATGATTCAGCTTTTAAACCAAAATATTTATGGAATCGAATTTAATCAGACTGAACAGCAACAAGAAGTTCCTAGGCAACACTTTGAAAATCTTAAATTACACTTAAGAAATGATTTGGCTCATTATTTTTCATCCAAACAAATATATAAAGATAATCAATATGATGATTTATATAATACGATTAATTCCAATGTCAATATCCTCAATCATTTTCAACAAAGTAATGCAAATACTCTTCCCTATAATCAATCTTCTACTCTTCAACGGGATGATAATAGGCATGGTGATGGGAATTATACTCAAAATTACTATAATCATGTTTCGCAACCCTAATATTGATAAAATATTTGAGAAATATATTTGTGTTTTATGTTATGAATAAGTTTTAATTTCCAAGATTTTAATTTTAAGATAGGATAACTATTTTTATGGTAGTTTTATATTTCTAATTTAACAAAATACATTAATTAAATTCAGGAAATGAATATTTCCGTTATTTTATGATTATGTTATTACAAAAAATTATACTATGAATAATAAATTTAACGAATAATGTCGTAAAGTATCCACATCCTCAAATGGTTCTCTCTCTATTTCTCTTTTTTTTGAGGTATTCCCGTATGAAAATTTGTCATTTATTTACTGTGATCGTTAAATAAACAAAAAGAAGGATTTCGTAGAATTCTAATTAAATTCTTTTTTGGTTTCCATTTTTGATGTTTTTGAGTTTAATTGTCTAGACTTAAAAGATTATTGGTTCCTTTTTTTAAAAAAAAAAAATATTTGAGAAACTCCAGTAATTAATCGATTATTAAGATTGCATATCCATTTCTAATATTTATTAATAAAGACGTTTATTCACGTTCCAACATTCCAAGATCGTGTCTTATCCGTATGTAATCATGCACCAGAATAAAATTAACGAGACCAATTTCCAAAAACAATATGCGACACGACAGCATAACCTTTCTTCGTTTCTTTGTTTAGTAGTTCATTTTCTCCCAATTGAGGAAATTAAATGGGTAAAGTTTACCAAATATTTTTTATCACGGGACGCTTGTTTTGACTATGCGATGATCACGTGATTTCTAGTTCATACATCCTGTATGTTGAAAAGAATATATGCCCCTCCGGTAAATTATTGCTTTTTTGAGAAATCAGTATTTAAAATTTTATCGTTTTTATTGTTTACAGTTTATTTTTAGAACAAAATGCAATATGATCAATTTATATGTAATGTGGCAAAAATATGAATCTTGACGATTCATATATTTGCTGTAATGTGATACAAATTTTTATATTTTACGTCTTCTTAAACATTAAAAATTGCATATTATTCCAATTTTAGATTGTCGATCTTTTTTGAAAAAGAAAGTTTTATATGAATATTACGATAATTTATTATACGTTTATGTTCAAAAAATTAGATTATCATATAGTTAATCATATTCAAATCATAAAAAAAATTTTTTGGCAAAAGGCTCGGAGGGCATTTTGCTAGTCCATGACTCCCGATTTTCACAATCAAAATTAATTGGGAGATAGGATATACTTTTCAATGTCATCATCTGGCGCAGTCGAATTTTCCGATTTCCGACGATAATAATATTTGGTAATAAATAAAATAAAATCAACATATTTTTTATTTGCGTAAATGAAGTGTATTCTTTAAAGACTTTATAAAATAATTTTCATCAATAAAATTCGTTGTTGAGTGTATTAACTTAATAGAAATAATGGATTCTTGATTGTAAGTCAAGGAATCAATTTACAAAAAAAAAAAAGTAATAAAGTAAAAATTAGGGATGTGTCAGTCCGGTCCAGTCCGTCCGCGGTCCTAATAACCGGTCCTTAAAACTGTGGACGGACCGGACTGG